TGCAGCACCTGGTTATCAACAAAAAGCAGAGCAGTGGCCCTCAGATCTCAGGAAATGTAGATCTGCTGAGGGTAGGATTGTTTAGGTCAGGGACAAAAACAATAAGTGCACTTATTCTTTAAAGATTAAGGCATGCAATACACTGTTAGAATTTTGGCCAATTTGCAGGAATTGGCCAAAATTGTTACACTGGGTGGCCCTGCATTTTGGGACAAATGGCAGATGCATGGCTGCTGTCACTGTTCATGTATGCTAACATGCCAGGGCAGAGAATAGAATAGCCGCAGCAGGAGATTCGTCCATCCATGCAGTTTTGCATGGATGGTGAAAGCTGTTTCATTTTGCCGGCAGGCTGAAGCAAAAAAAGTAACATATTGAATAATGTATGGCTAGCTTTACACCGGTACCATTTGGCACTGTTTTTACTGTGAAATCTTTTAGCCGTCGGTTCTTTTTACTAAATAATATTTGTTATTTACAGTTTTTCTTTAAGGCACATAGATCAGACAGATGCAGTGGTTTTGTATGACTGTCTGCATGACTGGATACATGCAGACTGTGATGCTGGATGAGGTTTCTCAATGTGTTTGCTCAGCAGGAGATGTGGAATTTTCTCCATGCTAAATAAAAACTCAAGCTTTTTAACCTCTTGAGTTTTCTGGGTGAACAAATGGAAATATCCTGCAACTCATTGTGAACATTTAGGAATTTAATATGGAATTTGCTAAATAATAAAGAGTTAAGTGTATAAACAGGTACTAAATAGAAAGGTCCATATAAAGGGCAAGAAACTGATATATAAAAATCTGTAGACATACAACATGGAGATTGGAGATCATACAATGGTTCAGAGGAGTGCAATAAAACCTAGGGAGGCCTTTATAAAACAGGTCATAATGAAACTTATTGTGAAGAGGAGTCAGCCACAGTGTGGGGAGAGGAGATCAGCTAACCCCAAACCTTTTATAAAAAAAAAAAGTTGGGTGACTCCTATTTTCATATATTCATTAATAAAGGGGAAGCACTGAGTTAATCTGGCTTTTTCATATATATATATCTATATAGATATATATAGATAGATAGATCTATATTGTATTATATATTATATATATATCTAAGAGACTGAGGTTTGGGGGGTTTCTAGGCGAGTAGGATGCATTTTTATTCATAGAAGAACAGACTTCTTCAAACTTTGTTGTGGGAGGATAACAGCCATCCCTAAATAGGCCTGGAAGACTTCCCCTGATAGGATATTTGGCAACCCAAAGGGGAGGTATCAATAACTCAGCATTGAATTTAGTCCTGTATGTGTTTTGTAATTTTACCTATGAGTTTGCCATTTCCCTCTTGAACTTTTGTTGTAAAGATGCCAATTCCTTTAGTACTTGGGTTTTCATGTACTCGTTCCCCTAAATTAGTCTCCTTTGTTTTCCTCCTGCTAGTAGTGGGTGGGTAGCTTCTTCCTGGCATAGCATTGATTCTGTATTTTTTAAACAATGGGTTGGGACCCAAGCTGGGTTGTAGATGTTTTTGATGGGTCCCCAGGGTGTAATTTTCTCCTTCCGGATTCCTCTAAAATGGATCTTGCATAAAAATATTATCACTTTAGCCAACATACACATTACAGAGCAGCAATTGTACTAGTATAGAGCGGCATAACTTTGAATTCTACTGAAACTCCAAATGGTATGATGTTAGAGTATAGACTGTGTCAGGACCACTGTTGGGCAGTCTCAAAACCATCACCGTCAGAGTTGTAACATGTTACCTGGGCAGCCCAAACTGTTTGGTTAATGATGGCAGACCTAGTAGGTTAAGTCTTAGAATAAGGCCTCACAGCTGCATTCCAAGAGCCCAAGAGCTGGTCATTGAATACCGAATGGGGATATGGGCAGCAATAAAAACCTTGACAGATGTTGTAATCACCCCCACCACCAAAAAAGTAGTTTTTGCCTTTTATGCTGTTTTTGTTTTAATATATAGAGGTTCTCTACAGTTTTATTTTTATTATGATGGGCAGGACTCAAAATGTTATTTTGATATGAATGATGAATCTCATTGTTTTATATTTATCAGCTCTTTGCATACATATGATTTTGATGAGGAATGGTAGACACCGGATGGTTTTACAGCCCAACCAAAAAGTGACCCTGCGTCATGACTGGACACAGGCTTGGTAGATGACGCTGTGTTTCTGCATGGGTCCTGGTTGTGTAGAAAGAAATGTATTAACTACAGCTTATAAGCCCTCAACCTATTGGAGAAGAGTAGGGGCATGACGAATTCATCATCCAGCATAATATATGACGCCTTTTGTACACAGTTGATTGTAGCCCAATACACAATCCATCAATTGATGTATAAAACACAAATATATTGTAAGGTTAGGGCTTCCTTGTTGATCTTATAAAATCACTTCCTTTCTAAGGCAAGTGATTAATCTCTCTATTCTGCACTATTCTCCCAATATGTTCTATAACTTTTGTAGATGAGCTGCTCTTATAGGTATGGTGGTTTGTAGAAGCATCCAGACAGGAAGAGGTTATATGTGTTTACATACCATATCTTGTAGACTTCCAGTCGCCTGCTGGAAATGAATCCGGGCACAGCTCTGCAAGGGGTGACTCCAGGGAACCTGACACCAAATTCTGGATCTGAACCAGCTATGTTGACACAGGCAGGGGGGCTCATGCCAAGCTGTCAGTGCCCATCTCTACTTGGCAACAAAAATTGATTAAAACACACACTTGGCGTTTCCCCTGAAAAAGCCAACACTATGCTATGAAAGAAATTCCTGGGAAAACATCATTTAGAATTTTTGTTGAGAGAATGGGTATTCACCATGCCTAAGACCTTACACTAGAGATGGGGCCAAGCATGTTTATTATGGATTGTCCATTATCTATGTAAGTATAGGACTTTGTATCTCTTTCTTCACCTTCTTTTCTCCAAACTTTTGTAGTGTGTAATCCTGCTCTCATCAAAGCTGCCTTAAAGATGCTGTGTATACAGAATTTGAAAATGCTACCAGGGTATTGCTTTTGGAGTAACATTTATACCCGGGCTTTGTATTTACTGATTTTTACACTGTCTACACGACTCTCCAAGTGAACACAGGTGCAAAAATAAAAAAAAACTCCAAATCCCTAGTACATGTTTCATCTTCTCCCATTGGTTTCCCGTTTGGTTTTCATTGGTTTCTTCAATCTTTCTTCTATTGATGAGTGAGTATTCTTTCACACCGATTTTTATTTAGTTTTAGTTCAAGGATTTCACAGATTAGTACAATGCATAATATGCAATATACATATTGCAGATGTCCATAAAACAGCATGAATACTCTGTGATTACAATAGTCACATGTTGAGTATTCTTCCGAGAGCGCAAGAAGAAACGTGTGAGACTTATTTGTCCTTGATTACTTAAGCTGTAAATCTTCCATGTACTAGGGGTGGAAATGGAAGCGAGGGTTAGATTAGTACAGCAGGGTGTATGCGTGGTGGTGTATGTAGTGTTCAAAAGTGATGTGGTAATGCGTATATTATGTAAGGACTGGGAAAAGGGGGAGGTATGGAAGGATGACAGTGTATAGAAAGTTTTTTAATATGGGAAGAGGAATGTAGGGAGTAAGCAGTATCCTTGGGGATGATGGGGGTTATCTCCAGGATGAAGAGAGAGTGAAAGGGAAGAAGATAGAGGAGGGAGGGAAAGAGGACGAAGAGGGAGGGAGGACATCCCCTTTCCCTTGACCTTCACAGGTGCTGTGGAATTGGATTTCATTCCATCAGTATAAATGTAATTCTGTCCACTGCACTTTGGGCGTTGCTGCTTCTGCACTTCGAGCCAAAACCTGTGTCTTGAATTCTTTTGGAGTACTCAGGGCTTATACATACAGACACTCACAGAAGACGTGAGTCCCATTTGCTCTGATTGATGCAAGTCAAGTGAAGTTCTCGCACATTCTCTGATTGAAGCAAGTCAAGTGAAGTTCTGGCGCTACGTATGGGGGTCATTGAACCCAGTGGGCACACTGTGAAAGTATACAATGATATTTGCTTCATGTATATAGTATGGTATTCTATGGTTATTTTCCTAGATTAGTTTGCTATTTCTTAAGACTTGAAGTACTTGATGCAAATAACACATTTAGTGAGATTCTTTTGTCTACAGATTTCTCTTTTTCCAGGCATAAAACTTGCAAGAGACTTGAAGTCACAGGTGCAGCTCCAAGTATCCAACGCTGTGATAGATGGGAAGAAAGTTTGTAGCAATTTATTTGTTGTGACAGCATTAACGCTATGCGTCTTTTTGTACAGTACTGTATTTCATATTTTCCAGTCCTCAGGGAGAGTTCTGTGATTAGATCTAACCTACCCCCATCTTGCAGAATAATTGACTTGCTCATACTCATTCCAAATAGCTGAATAAATCAGACTACTGATTCCTGCCTCTGGCCAGAAGTGTACAACTGATGTGAACCAGCAGGGAAAGTTCAGCCCGAGGGCCAAATGTAAATGTAAACTACTCCCAATCCTTTCCCTGGTTTAGCAGAAAAGAAAATAGGTGTGGACGTTTCCCCAGCTGCTCTTACAGTGTTGAGCGTGAGTATTAGGGATCGTTCGTATCAGCCCCTTTGGGCAGCATTGCCTAGTGCAGTCCCAACACATAGACGAGGTGATTTGCCTTATGTCCTATTAGTTCGGTCCACACCAACTCCCTTGTTCGGACTTGCTGCTATTTTGCAAAGTACGTTCTGAGTTACTGCACACAGAGTTCAAATAATGTCAAGTTGAAGAAAATAATTATGTGCACCTTTTTAATGCACGCCCACTGGGGTGAATGGGCCTTTAAAGCTCAAGCTTTTTTTTTTTTTTTTTTCCAGTTTTCACCTATGACATATTTTTTTGCATTCCATGTTGTCTTAGTTATATTTTTAGTGTTCTTTCCACATTTTTATTCACATTTACATGTACACTTTGAGGCTGGCATGCATGTCACAGGCAGCCGCACAGCAGATCTGAGGAGCCGGAGGAAGTTGGAGAGGAGCCGCTGCTGCTGTCAAGATGGAGCCGACAACAACTATTCCCTGAGAGAGCGAAAGAGTCGGCTCTGCAGAGTACTCATTGTAATGACAGTTCAGCATCCCCTGGTTACCTAGTTGTTGTTCATTTCCCCTACATTTAGCCCTGCTTGTGCAAAGCAGGGCTAAATGTAGAAAATTAATTACCGCCCGGCGCCCGGAACTGTTATGTTTCGGGTGTCGGGTGATTCAAACCTGTGCTGCCCCTCTGCTCAGTGCCGCCCTGAGGCCGGGCCTCTGTGGCCTTGCCAGGAATACGGCCCTGCTTGCAGAGATTTATTTAAAGGGGTATAAAATCTAGGAGAGATGACAAACTTTCTTGACTTTATCTTACAAGTTGTCCAGCAGAGGTGCAGATTGCAGACATACAGTAGAGGAAGCACTTACAGATGTGTACACTAATACCAATGCAAATATGGGAAAGAATCGCATATCAATTTTTGCAAGAATAGCTTTAACGCAGAGTTTTACAGAATCGTACCATAGTAAACAAAAAGCTTGTTGAAATGAAGGTACCTAGAGGGGAGATTTAAATGCGGGTGCTGAACTGTGATGTACGTCATTACTTTCTTTCTATAGCACCCCATCAGTCCTAAAACCTGAGGCACCCAGTCTGGTCATCTCTGCCTGGCGCTTTGACCTGGTCCCCCCTCCATCATATTGGCGAGTAAGGCCACACATGGTATTGACCAATAGAACGGAGACTGGCCAATAGCTCACAGTTGAGATCTGGATAATTGAGCATTTTGGGTCTTGGGGCTCCTGGTACTTTCTGGATATAAGTGAAAAATCATGGTTGTGAAGTTTTTGCGAGGTGTTTTTTTTTATTTTTAATATTTAAAATGAGGGAAAGCATAACGTCATTGTTTGTGGTTAATTTCAAACATGTTTGTAGCAATGACAGATACTGAACTTCATTTTTTTAAGAAGATATTCTCAGATTGTGTGACTGACGAAAGACAGATGGGTTTGTTTAATACATGGAACCCATGGAGACGCCTGAGATCAGCTTTCATTTGACTACAAATAACCTAGAAGAGGACATCAGATTGCAGAGGGTTACTAACCATCACGGATGCATCGATACTGGGTTTTTCAGTATTGAGTACGAGTGCCAAAATGTTTACACAACCAATCAGGAAGCCGGGCACGGCAAGTCATCACACGCCGCCCAGCTTCCTGATTGGATGGGAGACAATTGACTAGGAAGCATTGAGCCGGCTTTCTGGCTAATCAGGAAGCCGGGCGGCATGTAATGACTCTCCGCATGGCTCCGTGATACCGGAAGTTCCAGTATCTGGATAAGCATCGGGAGCATTTGGGCGAGTATGAGTACTTGCCCAAATACTTGGTATCATCAATGATATCTGTTACTAGTATCGGTGCATCCCTACTAACCATCATTAATATGACTGTGATTTAAAGCCAAATTGAACTTACAATTTAAATTGGCTAGATACATTCCAGGTGCATCAAAACAAAAGACGTGCAAAGTTTTGCACTTTGTAAAAATAAGCCATAGCCAGAGTAGAAAAGACTTTCCCTTGCCATCTTGCTGCATAGAAGAACCTTTTCTCTCCCCTTCCTCTCTGATTGGAGAATATTGGCTCTGGCTCAGTAGGGGGCATGTTGGACCTCTACAAAGAGAGTATTGCTTTCAATCGGCTGCAAGAATGCGCTTTGTTAATTGCAGAGCCGTAGGCCTAACTCCACAGGCGGTCAGCAAAGAGCTCACTGCTTCACCACAGAAGGCAAGGATCGCACTCCACAGCATGCTGGCAGGATACAGGCTTTTCTACACAGGCTGTGGCTGCTGTAGAAAGAATATGAACGGTAAGACATTGATCATCTTGAGGGGAATTTTTCAAAACTGGAGCAGCTGTGCATGTCAACTGAAAAGAGAAGCTGCTTGGTTGCCCTGGGCAACTGCTCCAGATTCTGTCTGCCCCAGTTTTGATAAATTCCACCTTATGTTTTGATGTACATGGACAGTATTTAGCTGATTTTTAAACTGAAGGTTCAGTTGGGCTTTTAATACGATTCAACAGGTCAACTGCTGATGTAGTCTGGAAAGCTTTGAAATGTGCAACATCCCCAGTATATTTACACGTTATGGCAGTCTTACCTTCCAAAGCAGTGGATCCATCATCGTCCTGGTCTTCAGGGTTTTGAGTCTTTGGTCACTTGACTGTCCAAACCTGAGCTCCTGTGAACATGGAAGGAGCACCTCTGAACCTGGGAGGAAACTCCTTCACCTGCGGCTGGGGAATCCCCCACCTACAGCTGCGTGTGTGCAGTGACGTCATTGATCTTATATGGTTACATGGTTATATAACATTACATTTACCTAATATGGCCATATAAGGTAAATGATGTCAGCAGAAGCATCCCGCCCCTTTGTTTAAGGTCAGCTGCGGTGAGGGCAATGGGGAGGCCCATGTAGCTTATGTTATTGAACTAGGACCGGTCTGAACTGGAGCTTATCCCTAGTTACCACTGTTACTATCAGTGTCATCTCATAATATACCCAAATACAGTATATCTGAATTGGATGGGTCCAGTTTAGCCAAGTGCCAACATTTGGCCGAATACTGAAAGGACTGGAATTCATTGTGTCCTCAATCCCTCTGCAGCTGAACCCTGTGTTAAAAAACAATTTCAGGTAACAAGTGAAATGATCCAGTGAGGTAAGTCTACCCACTAAACACAGCAGTTTTGCTAAGGTCAAAGTTAATTTAATTTTACCTTTTTTTATTGTGACTCAAATTCTCATAGAACAGGCACGCGCTGCACCACTGAGAAATAGTAGAAGTATGTCTTCTGAGGCCTGAACTATAACTTCCTCTTCCTGCATCACCAATCACATTTCAACTTCCACAGCTGAGTTCAATCTAATTGGTTGCTTTAGTACTTTTTTAACATTAGACTTTCCGTTTGTGAGAGTCGGAAAGGAGTGCGTTCTAGCAGCACCAACAGGTGTGTTCCAGGATCACCAGATTGAGAACAAAAAAGACTGGGATAGAATGGTGCAGTACAGCAATGCCTGTCTAAAAAAAAAAAAATCATTTCATTTTTGGTTCTGGCTGACTGGCTTGTACTTCTAACATACCTACAAATGTTATATGATCCTCACCGGGATGAAATTTGTTAGGACCAGGCAACAATATGAATGTCTGAGCTCTACGAGGAAGCCACTGACAAGTGTTAACATATTTATGGACTATCCTCTTCTATGTACCAATACTTTTACCTTGAGTTGCTGTTTGCAAATGTTTAGTGCAACATTCTCCAGGGACAGTGCTGTTGTGTGGATACTCTGCTTGATACAAATCATTTTTAGATCTTCGTGGCCATAGAGCAGTACAATTAAATATTATCCATTGATAAACAGTGTCACAGTACACCCAGATCCCTGTTCTATTTATACCTTGTGCAGGCTGCGATGGGTAACTCCAGGACACGTTTACACTGCAAGGCTTTTCTATCACATCCCCATAAATAATCTGCCGTACTCTCCATAAAACACTCTTTGCACATTATTCTGCAGAGCTTTATGTGAGCACTGCACATTCCTGCTCTGTGTCTCCCTTTTCTTGGCCGGTGAAATGTCCAATCTTCATAGTTTCCGAACATAAACCGTCCTTCTCTGTAATCGGTCTGGTATGAATCATCCATACGATAAAGCTATTAAGTATTTGGTGTACTTGCTAAATATTTCCTCTGTGTGGAGTCACACTGGGAATGTTCTGCCCCAGGCTTTCCTCGCTCAAAATATTGTGTTATTTTAAGCATTGGAATCTTTTAAAATCTGGAAATATCAAGTGCCTGGATGCAGTGAATGATTGTGGTGTGGAGAACAGTCAGATCTTTGTGCCCTCTAGTGGTAACATTTGATGGGATCCGCTTTCAGAATGAAACTCATCAGTCCATGTGTATACTGTCAACATGCATACCATCAGGTTATGTGCACTTGAAATGGGCTTTTGTGAGATGCAGCAATGCACTAGATTTGGGCTGCCCTCTACTTGAGGGGGGGGGGAGGGGGAGTTGCACCGATACCAAGTACTGTACTCGGTACAAGTACAGATACTTTTCCAGCTCCAAGACTACACTAGAGAAAAATTCAAAAGTTAGGAGGCCGCTGTCATTTGTAAGGAGCACACGGAGTTCCTGGGACTTGTGCATCTTTGTTTTAATGTATGATTTTGTTTTTATAAATAAAGGGATGCACCGATACCATTTTTGCGAGTACAAGTACTGATACTTGTCCAAGTATTTACAGATACAAGTACTGATACATTTTTGTGTATTGTCATGTGACAGTTTTTCTAAAACAATAGACTCATGATTTCAGGACAGTGGTGGAGCACCAGAGCCAGGTCCCCGCTGCAACCACTGCAACCCTGGTAGTACTCATGAAAATGCCAAGTATCTGCACTGGTAATTGGACATCCCTACTTAGTAGTAAGGCTTTGTAGTACAGACCTCACTTCCTAGTGCCGCAGACCTGAAACATGACATACAAATGATGTTCCAAGAACCGAAAAATCCAAACCTTTCCCAGTCAGAAGATGGTGCTACCTCCGACGTAAGCCCCCTCTCAATGTAATCATTGCTACTTGATTTGCAATTATTTAAGTAGTGTTGCAGCACATTGATTTTTGTGTTGCACTACAGTTAAAGTAAAACTAAAGGCTCTTTTATGAACGTGCACACAAGTCCCACATCAAGTTACTATGCAATACACATTCTCATGAAGTAAACAAAAACTTCCTTTACCTTCCCTGAGCCAAATCCTTCATTTGTATCTCACACACTCCCCGTTCCAGACACTGCACCTTGCAGTGGGAGGGTTTCAGCAGTGCTATTAATCCAGAAAGCAGTGGGCAGGACTAGGTGTGACCAGGGGCTGATTGACAAGATACAGGCTTGTAAGCAGTGATAAAACTGCAATATTTTTTCATCCCACTAAAACACAGGCACAGCTTACATGAGTGGCAACTGTACTCTGAATTCAGGAGC